GGGCTTTGGGGCCTTTGCTGCGATTCGTGAAATCTTTGTGGATGGTCTCGAACTTGGCCGTCTCAGCAGTCAATCTGGTAGTAGCATCAGCCATCGCTTCAACCTGGATGAGGGTCGGGGTGCATGAGTATTAAATACAAGAGTACTTTGTCTAATGATCATTATTGCTATAACTAGTTATCATTGGAATATATTATCTAGGAGCTACAAGTTAGAATCAAGACTCGGGGCTTTTTTGCTTCTTTGAGCTGCGCAGTTAATGATGGTCCGGGGCTACAATAATGTATTTGTAATTCTAATTTGAAATGTAAATTAGGGGATGATGAGTGATCAGCGTTTTTGTGGGTTTGAAGCAAGTGCAGCTTTCGGTGGGGCTGGGAGTGGTGTTAATACTTATAATTAAGGAATACACACACAGCTAGTCTGTATTCTTGTATCATATGAAAAACTAAGAGCCCCGCAACCAGTAAACCCCCACAGCCTGAAGACCCATAGGATGTTCCAATGCTAAATTATATCCCCAGCAAGATCACACTCCCCCGTGATCATTCGAGCTAGAATCGAAATAGGAGCAATAAACGAAGTTCTTCTAGCATGTTGCAAACAATCCTCATAGCCTCAAGCTAAAGCTAATAATCTAATTCCCAAACAAGATCATAAGACTTTCGATTCAAGATCCCACATGAACCTGAATTCGAAGACGACTACTCCCTCAGCCTCATAGCTTCAAAACCTAAACCCTAGACCCTCAGCCCTAAACCTTAATTCCCTTATTATAAAACTTTTGGACCTAACCCCTATATTACCCTCAGCCATAAACCCTAAGCCCCAAAAGCTAAACCCTATACCCTCAGCCCCAAACCTTAAGCCCCAAAACCTAAGCCCTCGACCGTATAAGGTATTATCCCGAGCCTGGCCTGATCATGATCCACAGCTGATTGAAGCTCGGCGCGTGCATCCTGAAGAATCTTTGCCTGAGCTTAAACATGCCACGGTTTAGAGTTTAGGGGTTTAGGGGTTAAGGGGTTTAGGGGTTTAGGGTTCAATTCGGGTTTCCCCTAGATCTCGAGGCTTTAATTAAGTGCGGGTTTATGTCCATGGTATATTGAAATATACCAAGATAGGCCTGGGCTTCAACATCTTTCTTCATCGCTTCCAGAAGATGGTCGCCCCTGAGTGTGGCATAGCACATTTTATGTATAAGGATTGAAAGAAATTTCAGTCAGTTTGATTTCAGCAGGTAATAATAAGATTCCCACATGCCATCGACGGCTTGCTCCTGCTTCACTTTGCTTGCCGCCTTCACTCTTTCACTGGCTTTCTTCAGGGCCTGCATCAAAGATTCTAGAACCCGAACCCCTAAACCTCAATTCCGAGTATGAGTGCCGAAACCTCAATTCCCAAGGGAATCCCTTATATTAGGCTTTATACCCTCAACCCCAAGCCCCTAATAATTATAAGGATTCCCCAATCCCCAGAAACCGAAACCCAATAACAGCTATATTAGCAATTATAATATATCTATATACAGGATCCAGAATCTTCAGAAACTTAATAGGCCTTGCTCGCATTCGCCTTCACCTCCTGCGCTTGCTCCTCCTCTGGGCTGAGCTCCTGTGTCAGGGATCATAGGCACAAGCAAATCACCCAATCTAGCCCCTAGATATAAGTTCCGTTCAATGTTGTAACCTCCAGCTAAACCCTATGTAACTCCCAACTGCAGCACCCTACCTTGGCACCGGCTTTGGCTTTCTTTTGCTTGTTTTTCCCCTTACCTTTACCCTTGCTGGGCTTCTTCGGGCTTGGGCTCGACGAGTGCTTTTTGGTTTTCTTGCTTTTCTTGGCTTTCTTTTTGCTTTTCTTCTTCTTCTTGCTGGAAGAGCTCGAGCTCGACGAGGCCTCAGCTTTAGCCTCCAGCACCATCTCCAGCTCGGTGTGGTCAACATCCTCGGCACTATCCTCGAAAAGGCAGAGGTATTGCTTCACTTCTCGCTTTGGGCATTCCGGCCAATTGCGAATCTCCGTCATTCTCTTTTCCTCGCATGTCATTTTCGCTTCGATCATGTCATCGGCCATCTCCTCGCCCCACTTCTCAACCATTTCTTTCCGCAACATCCACTTCCTGAAGCCTCGAGCTGTCGCGCTCTTTTTGCTCCGCAAACGAGACAGGAGGGAACTCTTGTGCCAGTTCTCACCCGAACTGAGCCATGACTCGAAGAGGTAGGAGCGCATGCCAGCATCGTCGCTGGCTTTCTTGGACAACTTGCTGATTTCGCGCGGGCACATTGCACCTTAGCTTTTCTAACCCATGAACATTATTCGAGTACTACAGCTATAGCTATTACTAGCTAGAAACGATTGCCGAAGTATATAACATAAATAATTGTAGCCATCAAGAAACTTTCGAAACTCCGGTAGTAGCGCATGTTGCGAGCATGTAGCCGTTTTCGCCTCTCCTCTTTTGTTTCATCCTTGCGTTTTCCTTCCTTCTCCTCCTTACCTTCACCCTGCTCTTTGTTCTCTGCATCACCTGTCTTTGGCTTTTCAGCCTGACCATCTGCAGCACCTTGCTTCGACTTGTCGATTTGCTGAACAATTTGCTTCAAGTCCTCAGTGCTGAGCTGGTCGATGGTGTGCCCCCTTTGCAGTAGTGCTTGCACTCGATCAGCAGCACTCTTTGCTGATTCATCCTTAGGCACAGCAGCATCATCATCAGTACACCGTGGCTTCTTCCATTTGTCATCATCACCAGAGCTAGGCCAGCTAGACCACGATGAGTCATCCCGGCCCCAAGACCAGGACGACCACTGATCATCCCAACCCGAGCTCCACCAGTCCTCACGGGTCCATGGCCTCGCCCAGGAAGCATCAGACCACGTCGAGCTGCCTGGAGATGCCCAGCTCTGGTCCGACAGTGCCTGATGGGGCTTGGAATTAATTATCAGGATCTTACAATAACTTCAGGGTATACTTTGTATAATAGCTTATAGGGAGTTTAGGGGTTTGGGGGTTTAGGGGTTAATTAGGGTTGAGCCAATTCAGGGTCCGTGGGGTCGCGGGTTTCTTGGTCGTTAATTAATAGTAGTTATATATGTTTTCGGATGATGTTCCTGGCAATTCCGGGATTGGTATAGTTCTGCAACATGTGTGGTCCCAAGTTGATCTCATGATTGCATGAACCCCTGGATAGGGTATAGCTAAGAGATCTCTCTCTCTGTCTCTCATTGGATATTTTCGAACTATAGTTCGAAAATATCCAATGAGAGACAGAGAGAGAGATCACTTATATAGGCATTTCGGATGATTTTAAAACTTCAGCATGACATACAGGAAAGGCTCAGGGCTTCATTTGATGCGCACACACACACACAAAACAGGTTTAAACATTTGATGGTGATACTGACTGTCGGACAACAACATTAAAAAGTTATCACATAGCATAATTAGAGGCTAGGACCTGAATTAAATAGTATATAAGCACCATACCCAGCCCCCTAAACAACTTTAAAACCCGATACTATGCAAGCAATATATATGGGACCCTGAAGCCCAGCAGTACAACGATCCCTGAGATTCCACCATCGAAGGCCCATAAAAAATTAAGTACAAAATTATTAGAGGCCACAGATAATACAACAGCCAAGGCACTGTGCTGCTCCTGCTCAGCTTCTGCGATGGCTCCTCTGGGCTCGTCTCGACCTGCAGCTGCTGGCATCCAGACTACAATCATAATTTCAGGGTGTGGTGGATATAGCTATGTGCGTATTCAATTATTATATGATAATTATCTATAATAAACCCTGTATAGACCTACCTACTTATGTTTATTATTCAGAAATAGAATTAGAGCATCTGGCCTTCGAAGGCGACTTCGGTGTGCGGCTGTGGCGGCGCTTTCCAATACTGCGGGGGGTTGAACTCGGTGTACTGGTCCTAGGCTTCTTCGCACTCTGCTGGTCCTCTGCCTCTTTCTCGGTGGACTTTTCTGGACTTGGCCTTTTGCTGCAGTCTGTCTTGGGCGTCTTGGTTGCGGACTTTTTTGGACTTGGCTTCTTGCTGCGGTCTGTCTTGGGTGTCGTGGTTCGGCTCGAAGCTTCTGCGGGCTTTTGTGGACTTGGCCTCTTGCTGCGGTCTGTCGTGGGTGTCGAGGTTCGATCCGAAGCTTCTGTACGCTTTTCTGGACTTGGCCTCTTGCTGCGGTCTGTCTTGGGTGTCGCGGTTCGATTCGAAGCTTCTGTGGGCTTTTGCGGACTTGGCGTCTTGCTGCGGTCTGTCTTGGGTGTCTTGGTTTGTGGCTTTTCTGCTGGAGTTGGCACACTGTCTGGTTTCTTGGCCGTCTTTTCATTAACTTCTGCGGCCACGGGCTTGTCAGGCTTGTTGTCAGTCTTCGGGGTCTCGCTTGTCAAGCCTGCTGCTGCTGTTGCTGGGGCATTGCTGCTGCTGGAGCCTGCTGTGGAGGTCTTTTCGGGGCTCAGTGTTTTGCTCCGCTGCTTCAGCGGTGTCTTGTCCTGCTTTGCTGGGCTCGCACTTCTGCTCCTGCTGTCCGGGGGGTTCGGCACTGCAACGGCTTGCGGTTTGCTTGCTGACGACGGGGTCTTGCCTCGCAACCTTTTACGCTTTGCTGACTTGCGGTTGCTGCTGTGTGCATGCGGCGGGGTTGTGCGATCCTGGCTTCGGCCTCGTGTTGCTTTGGAGTTCGGGGTCCTTGCCTGTTCCTCCTCCTCAGCTGCTGGAGCCGCAGCATCCTTCAACCCGGGCGCAGGGCTTTTGTGCTCCACCTTGCATGCACGTGCCGGTGTCTTCATCTCCTTCTTGACTGCTGCTGGCTTTGCCTCGCTGGCCTCAGGAGCCGCATCTTTCGGAGCTGCTTCTTCAAAGGCAGTTCCTGTCGTCGAGATCACTAATTATAATTATGTTGTTTTATTTCTTATTAGTATAATACTAGATCTTATATATATAACTTGCAAAACCCAAACCTTGTAATATATTCTTTAGAATAATTTGTATCTCCTTTCAGGGCTCTCTTTCGCAATTCTTCAGCGGCAGCCAAAGCTTGCTCGATCGATATTCCATTGCTAGGCATGTTTGCAGATTATATCACTCTGGGACATAATATGATCAAAAGGGTGTGGACGGAGCTATCGTGAGATCAGGACACCTGATCATGATGATTCGGAGACTAGCAGCACCACCCCAAAGTTCCCCAAATCCTCGCATCTACAAATGCTGCAGCGGGATGACAATCAGCTTTCCAGGCAAAGATTCCTGCATGCTCTGTCACACAGCTAGAGTCACGCTAGAGTCACGCGGGAGTCACGCTAGAGTCACGCTGAGGCTGTACTACTGCTTTACTAACTATAGGCACAGTCACGCAAGAGTCACGCTAAAGTCACGCTAAAGTCACGCTTCCTGGGCCCTGGCTCAACCCTCCTATATTTATTGTAAAATGATCGATTTGTATGGATTCAAAGGTATTCCCTACTGTCCACCCTGACCAACATAGGAGGGTATTATCCCAGGCGGCGCACTTCAAATTAGAGTTCCAGGGATCATGCCTCGAACACTACGTAGAGTGCGGGGCCCGAAAAGTTGGAACACTCCCCCTGGGACCCTAGCCAGAGCATATTTCGAACTATAGCTAAAAGTATAATACGACTGAGCCCTGCACTCTTCACGGCTACAGCCTAGAGCTAATAGCTAATTAATATGGTCTATATCGGCCCAGAGCTTGCTCCGCTCGGAGGAAATCTGCTATCTCATCGAGAGCCGCGTGCTGCCAAGCCAGTGGTGGTGTGGCCTGCATAGACATTAGTTGTGATTGACATTCATTATTATTAGAGTTATTATAACTTATAATGGTGAATATAGTAGACTTACATCTTATATCCCATGTATAATTGAAATTCTATATATTATAGTTAATTATTATTGATAAATTTACTCTACTTACATTTTATATCCCATGTACTTGCAGTGAAGGGTTGTCTTCAACTGCATGGCCACACGGATAATTGCACATCAGCTGTGTTCGGTATAATGTAGCACATCACATTCTTACAGCTGGGTGGCAATATTGCTGCAACAATTGTAGCAATCCTAGAGTGCTTCGGGGGTTCACTGTCTAGAGTACTTAGAATAAACCAGAGAGACAGAGAGAAAGAGGGAGAGAGTATGCAAGTAATTGTGTGTGTGTCAGTGTTCAATGCATGATCACCCTATATGATGCTGATCGAAGCTATAAACCTCCTCATGAAACTCAGCGAGAGTATTATCCCTGCTACTCCCCAGCCTTCCCCTGCTGCAAGAGCAGTCGTGGCCCAGAGTCCAGCTTCTTGTGAATGATCTCGGAATTCTGCTCCTTGGCAGAAAATCTACGTAAGACTATCGGTGTCATAGAAATGTGTCAGAGGCATATTATAAATTTTAGAAACAACAGAAAAAAGAGAGGCTCCAATTGTGTCTCAAACCCGGCTTGAGACAAAATTGGAGCCCCTCTTTTTTCTGTTGTTTGTAAAAACTATAATATGCCTCTGACACATTTCTATGACACCGATAGTATAAGTTGTTGGGGTCGGTTGCTGGGCCGGGTATTTAATGTAAGTCTCGCGATATCAGTATGCCAAGACTCGACGGACTTCACATGTAGCCGCAATATTGTCTTGCAAAACTTCCGCGGATACTCCTGGGTCTTCTTCAGTAGCCTGCTTCCAGTCCTGGGCTGGCATGTGCATACTTCTAATTTATAGTGCGTACTAGTGTAGGCTCGGAGTTTTCTGGGATGCTTAGTATAGATAGTCGAAGCCAAGCATCATTTAGGGTTTAGGGTTTAGGGTTTAGGGTTTAGGGTTTAGGGTTTCCCTTCTTCTATTTTATAGTGGTATAGTAGGCTCGGAGTTTTCTGGGATGACTATTCGTATATAGATAGTCGAAGCCAAGCATCACAGCTACTTTCCCACGTCTTGCTTTACGAGTGACGACCCCATCTGAGGAGAGTTTCAACTTCTCCCGACGTGATCGGGAGAGTTTCTTGGCCAGGCGTCCAATAAAGGGCCTTCGTTGGGTATGCTGGAATCAGAGAATGGCAAACTATAATGGCTTGCATCCTCGACTCATCGACTGCACATTCATGAGGCATCGACAGGTTGCTGTAGGCTCGAGAGCCCTTGCAACTGAAGTGACCGTAGTTGCCCATCCAACTTAGCCAGACACGAAAAGTGTGTTGCAACTCATACATACTTTATCACATGTGTGCATTGTACATAGAACATGGACGACAGAGGCCTCGACAAGAAAACATTGTGCACTGGCAACATTCCAGAGATCATCTCAAACACGTGTTGCACATACGGCAGCATCGTCAGCTTCGACGAGAAAGGTTGCTCGATCATGAAGAAGGCCCGTCTAGCTGTCAGCAGCAATACCAACAGGCACACCCGCGCTGCAATCCTTAGATAATTTTTAGTATTTACTACAAATGATCGGAATGAAATGACATGTAGCCCCTAGCTGACCAACTTAACCTCACCTGGGTACTTTCATCCAAGCAACTTGTTTCCCGTGGAAACATGTGGCAACTCTTCATTCCCGAAGGGGCTAGTCTCTGATCGTTTCGCAACTGATGAGTTGATCCATACAAATGACCCACAGGGGACACCGATAGTTGCCAGGGCCAAGGGCTTCAGCTTCAGGATACATCGAACAGCTGAGATAAAACCAATCCTTAGCGGTTGAGGCCAAGAGATTCTTGGCAACATTATAATGTTATCTGCAGCCGGTAACTTGCATCCAAGGAGCGGCGTGCAGATATCATCATCTGGGCGATGCTGCATATCCATGTAGTCACTTGGATGCAAGACCAGCCAAGCTTCAAAAGCATAAAAGAAGTTGAGGCTGCATCCACCCCCATACAAACACATCTATATATCTGCACTCGGCAATAATGCAAATGCAAGCATATGCAGATGAGAAGCCTTCTCATGCCCCGACGACCTGAGTCAGATGTACAGTATGAATAATACACTGGGCAAGACAGATCTAATACTGCTACCGAGGCACAATATGCTCTTTGCATACCTCTCTCCCCAGCAAACATGTCATAGTGCATCAGGTCCTGGGCAGCCGCAGTGGGGCAAACTAGATCCGGATGTATATAGCCTGAATTCAGAAACAAACATGTAATAAGGTTGTGACCCGAAAGCTCATGGATGGTGGAGAATTCTGGGCCACATAGTCTGCCGTCTGGATCCTTGTCTAGCTAGCAGCATAGGCAAACAGAAGACAACAAATATCAACTGCAACATAGGCTGACCTCATCATTCTCAGCTGAGCTACAGAACTGCTGGTGCCCCCATCATGACAAGGAGGGTGGCTGCCGACACCGACAGCGACAATGGGCTTCTTCGCGCAAACTGATCCATGGTTTGTGCTGAAAGGTTTCTTATGTTGCCAGGGGGCATGATTATTATGTTGCATGCAACTTAAACTATGCCAGGCAAACCAGACTAGATTCTGGGATTATTATAAACCCCAAACCCTATTGTAAACCTTAATTAGGGTTTACAATAGGGTTTGGGGTTTATGGGTAAAGACCATACAGACGTGGATAGTGTGATCATGAGCAGGGTATAATGTAAAAAACCAATAAACATATCTTATAAATGTAATCACCAACCCCAATTACGTACATCACTCTCCAGCCCACCAACGGAACACACATGATTGCCATGTTGCATTCAGGCTGCATGCTGTCTGACCTCGCCACTCCTAAATTTATAATAATGCACACAGCAGAGATCAGAGCACTTTTTCGGAATTCTCGTTGGAAAGTCAACAAGATCCGATCCCAATCCGAATTTGGCGTACAGCAAGCGATTTGGAAAAGCTGCCCACAAGAATGCCCAACAGCAAGTATCTACAGCTATTTTTATTGCATACAATACAAGGGCTAATCCATCACCCTGCACATCCTGCTGTACACCAGCACATCCAAGGCACACGTGGCGAATCTGTCCTGGCCTAGCTATGCTTCGGTGCGGGAAGAGGCCAGTACGGCTTCATCCAACCCGCCGCTTTCTTCGCAAGCCTGAACCTTGGAACAGACCATGTTATTATCATGATTCATGATTGTGATAAATAACCACCTATTTAATGATTGAGACCATCGCCATCACCATCATTGGGCCATTGCATGTGCACTCATCAGTTGGTACATTGCTGGAGCTAGACTTCGGCTTAAGACACAAAACCTCACCACTAATAAGAGTCGGCCGGTTTATTATGCATTATTATTATGATATGGGTATAGGATATTCTGAGTGAAAACCCATAGTATAACATAATGTTGCAAACATCACCCGCATAGGTATTATATTGCAGCTGGAGCACTTGGCCTGGAGATCACCCAAATTTCCTTTGTTCCAGGAGACATTCACCCCGTCGCTGTTGTTAGCCTCCAGCAGACATGATTAATTTGGGTTTTGGGCTTAGATTTATAATATGGGCTTGGGTAGATACAGCGTATACAGGGGATTGCGGATGCTGGCCTTCAGCTTGTGTTCCGCAGGGCTGTGCAGGTTGATGGCTTCGAGCCGAGCTTTTGGAACCGGCTTCACATAAAAGCAACCAGACAGCCTTAGCTGAAACGACTTCACTTGCATCTCAAACGACTACAGCAGGGATCAACGTACAATCGGATGTGCATCCCAACAGCAGCACCCCGATGGAGGTCGAACCAGCAGCACCCTCCTGCTCCTTCACCTTCGGGGAAGGATTGATCGTGAAGGACCTTGGCCAGCAAGTGGTTCATTAAGCAAGTTCGCGTGATTGGCCACACCGAGCACAAACCTTATGAGCAAAGTCTCGCAATGTCTTTGAAGTCTGTCGGCAGCACCATGGCATTGTCCAATACCCGCAACTGCTGGAGGTCCTTGATAATGGAGTCTTTCTTGGCCTGTCCATGATATATCGACAAAGATCAGATTAATTCCATACACTAGACCTAGAATTTAACCGAAGTACAAGTAGCTAGACACGAATTGTCGCAATATAGTGAGATCGGGATCCCTGCCTCCAGCTGCTGTCTTGACTTGGACATTGGGTTGGTGTCGTCAAACTTCTTGGCCTTCTTCTTTGCCTTTGCGAGCTTCGGGGTCCACCCAGTTGGCTGATGAGGTCGAACCAACATTCCTGCTGGCTCCTGTGCAAGATGCAGAAAAACACCTTTGTAAATAGCATATATTATTAGCTCTCGTAATTATCAATGAAAATTACGAGAGCTAATATATGCTATTTACAAAGGTGTATTTCTGCATAGCTCTCCTAGGGATTATTGTCATTATCTATATTTTGATATATATATATATATAGACATATACTCAAATCACGACAATCACACATGTGTTCAAAGCAGGAACATGGTGGGTCACAATCACACATATGTTCAAAGCAGAAACATGGTGGGTCCTCATCAGCCTTGCGCTCATCATCAGCAGCCTCCTCATGTTTTTCCTTCTCCTTCGCTGGGGTCCTTGCCACATCCTGCTCGGCCTTCCTAAGGCCCTTCTTTCTGATTTTTCTCTTCAACTTCTTCTTCGCTCTGCCCACAGCAGCAGAAGCCCCACTGGCTTCCTCCATGCCATTCGACACGGATGGCTCCTGCACAGAATTGCAACTGCTAGAGAGGATTTCATGGTCTTTGACAAAAAATCAGACAATATGTCAACCGCACAGCCTCCCCCGGCGCATCATCTTCCAAGCATGCTTCGAAGTCCAGCCGGCGCTTCACACCTTTGAGAGGTACCTCTTCAGCGGCATCATCCTCCTTCCCACACACTGGTGCATCATGCTCTGCCGCGGCTGCTGCTTGCTTTTTTTTCTTCTTCTTTCCTTTCTTCTTGTTTGCTGCCGTCTGCTTCCCCTGCTGGGCATCTTCATCGTCTTCCTGTCGGAGCTGGTTCTTGATTGCATACTCTTCGCGATCTAGCTCTTCAGCCTCAGACAAAACATCTTCCTTGCTTTCTTTAACCTCGGGTACCGCTTTGCTCTTTGCTTTTGCTTTGGCTTTGCTCTTGGCCTTAGGCTTGCTTTTGGTGGGCTTCGCCTCCTTTTCCTCCTCCTCCTCTCCTGTTCCATCGTTACCCTCCCGTGCATCTTTGCGAAGCTTCCGTTGAGCCTTCACATGTGGTGAGAAATACAGAAATCCAAGCAGCGAAAAAAACACACTTGTGTGCAATTCATGAATGCAAAGTCCCACCTGCAGAAGATTGGCATCCAAGGGGCCTGTCTTCGCTTCGAGATCATGGATCAATCGATCGGCTTCGGCCTGCAAGGCATCTGCTGTCGTCGACCACACTGGCCATGGTATCGCCGTCAGCGGCAGCCTCCCATCATCCTGCAACAAGAAATTTCCGTTCTCTCTGTCCCTGGCTCTCTCTGGCTCTCTATCTCTCTCTCTCTCTCTCTCTCTCTCTCTCTCTCTCTCTCTCTCTCTCTCTCTCTCTCACTCGCACTCTCACTCTCCACAACTGAGCCCACTATTTATCTACCATTATATACATATATATATATATGTATATCTCTTACATACATAGATATATATATAAACATATCTATATACACATATACATATATACATACATACATATACATGAGACACATATATACCCAGACCCAAAGAATAAGGCGCCTTGTAATTTTCTGGAGATGCATCTATCTCGATCTCCTCACCCTCTTGCGGAAAGATCGGCTGGCTGAACACATCTGGGCTGCCCCTTCGAACTGCCTGTCCATGGGCACACAATAAATTGGCTCACATGTATTCAAGACCATGGGAGATTATCTTATTCCCAGCCTCTGGATCCGGACTTTTGATTGGGGTCTTTTGCTTCTTCCTCTTTTTGGCAGAGGTCTTTGCCACGGGGGAGGCCTGCCAATATAATCAAATGAAGAAGATGGCTGCAGCCATGAACACAGCCTCTGGATCCGGACTTTTGATTGGGGTCTTTGGCTTCTTCCTCTCTTGGGCTGCTGCTGTCTTTTCCACTGGGGAGGCCTGCCAGTTTGCAATGAAATGAAGAATGATGGCTGCAGGCATGAACACAGCCTCTGGATCCGGACTTTTGATGGGGGTCTTTGGCTTCTTCGTCTTTTCGGCTGCTGTCTTTGACACCGGGGAGGCAGCTGATACCTGCCAGATGCAGATCAAAACTAATTATATCAAGCTGCTAGTTGTAAGCCTACACATGTGGTCCGAATAAGCAGCCTCTGGAACACTTGTCTTCGGGGTCTGCTTCAACCACCAGGCCTCAACAAAGGCAGGTGCAACGAGGCTGCAAATTCATGCCAAGGAATCTGCCTGCTCATCCTCTTCATTCTGGCTCATCTCCTGCGAGGGAGCAGCAGGACCATGTGTTCGATATGACGAATCTCGGCATGCAATATATACACAAGGGAGCTACAATATGTCCTGAGCCTCCTCCATTTCCTCAATCTTCTGCTCGTTCTTCGAAAGTGTGGCGCAGTCCTTATCATTATTATTTATATTCTAGAAATATATTGTTATTATATACATCTCGTACAGTGCACACGTGATCCCCCTGACTGTAATTACAGAACTTAAGCTGCGCTTGCCTTCTTCGCAGATAGGGACCTGCGCTTCCTCTTTTTTTTTGAAGATGATCTTGCCGGGGATGGTGTTGGAGACTTTGCTGGCCGTGGAACCTGAGTTATTGTACATGTCATGCACAGCACAGGCATAGAATTAATAATTCAACCTGGCAGCATCTTCTGCACCCAAATACTCGGAGCTGCTAAACTCAGAGCTGCGAAGCGGAGCAGCCTGGCAATAAATTATGAAATACACGTGTGTGCAATTTTGTTACATCCCAAGTACATATTACCTGCCTTCCGAAGCGCTGGCACTTTCATCGACTCGTGATCAGGAGTTTCGGCCACCTTACATATATTCCCAGTCATCACAGGTGTATGTGATTGCTAGCACAGGCTATGCTCACGACCGGTCCAGGCAGCTCTGCTGCCACCACAATTTCTTGCGTATCAGTCATCGCCTGAGTATGCACACATGAGTTGAAAAGCACCACACAGACACACACACACACATGCACACAGACCGAAACCAATAAGTGCTTCCTAGTGGCCATGGCACCACTAGCCTGTGTGTCCTCCTCGTCCTGGTATATTATTTTAACGGAAGGGTTTAGGGTTTAGGGTACGGTATGTCAAGAAAAAGAACTGTACTTCTTATATTAGACCTTGGGCCCAACTTGTCGACATACAACCAAAGCCCGTGCTGAAAAGGGTACAGTATATATCTATATTTCTATCTAGAATTCCCAGCCTCTGAGATCTCGATTTCCTGCAGGGGGTTCCTGTGGGGCTCCACCAGAATAACATCGTCATCATCAGTAGGTCCTGAGAAATTGAAAGCAAAGCCAGGCCACAGAACCATTTCCCGCTGCTCACAAGCCAAGCTGCCCTGCACGACCTGAGTCTCATCGGTATCCAAGGCATAGCTGTCCGCAGCAAGCGAGGAGCTTTTTGGCGATGCTTGGCCCTGATCATTAAAAGAGTGGGCTCATGTACATGAGCATGAATACATGCTAGCTTCAGCTATGGCTCTCGGGCACGTCGCACAATCTCCTTGAGCATGAGCATCTTTTGGTGGCCAGGTCTCACAGGATTCTTCAACAGATATGAAAAGGCAATACGTATCATACATCGGATCCAAGCCTCGCTCCACTGTTCTGGGATACACGCCGGTGGACATATGCTGCTAGCGCCCGATGCAGGCATCCTTCGGTATTGGCCCAATCCTGCCACAGAAACTTCGGATTTAGCGCATGCAGGCAATATTAAGTGTGATCATGAGTCCTTTAGCTGCGGCTTTGGCATCTTCTTCGACACTATGCCATAGTCCACCGCCAAATCGCACAGTGCTTCCTGCATGCACATTTACCGACATCTATAGTTCAACTAAATCATGATTTGCAGGCCTGGGCTTCCTTCGCAGTCGGTATTTGAGGGAATAATCCCAAAAAATTTTGAAGGAATTGGAAGTTGATGGGATTCATCTCCACCTAAGCTTCGGACACTGCTCCCAAAGGCACCCTGATCATGATCCACATGTATATTTCTGACATGTTGCGTCAGCTTCTGTGATGCCCCGGGACTGAGCACCCAAGTCCACGAAGCTAAAGTTGATGGGCACCTTGGGCAATAATGTTCACGAAAGGGCTATATAGTCCACAAGCAGCAAACACACATGTACATTGCATATATATGATGCAGAGCAGCAATGCCACGCTTCAAGCAGCGAGCAAGCTTCTTCGGGCCGATGTTGTTCTCTTTGCATATGGCCACCATCCTTTCCTCCACATATTCCTTGTCGGAGAGGAAGCTCTTGTACAGTTCCTGCCCAGTGCAAGTATGTATGTATATATATATATATGTAATTATATCGTATCTATATACTCGAGACAGATAGGAGAAAGAGAAGAAAGAGAGATCATGAGAGAGAGAGGGATAGGAACTAAAGAATGAGTGGCCTTCAGGAAGAGCACCGTTCGAGGATTCGGCTTTGTGGGGCCCATGCTGCGATCTAGGCTGACCCTCGTGACCGTTCGCGGATTCGGCTTTGTTGGGCCCATGCTACGATCTAGGCTGACCCTCCTATCTAAAGTGGATGTGAACATGGCACCTATCCTAGGGCTTGTAATAAGCCCCTGGATCCGGAAGCCCCACAAGTGATCTAATTATTACAAAGCTCCACGGGGGTTCTGCAAGGTATCGGCTGCTGTCTGATCCACAAGTGCAGCACAGCATCGCACGTGAAAAGCAGAGTGCTGCATCTCAGGATTATTGTGCCCCAAACAAAGCTAGGGAGACCGGATGACGAAGGATCATCCACCCATTGATCGGATTTCCTTTCCTGGTGTCCTTATATCCATGTGATCATTCACTCACCTGCGACAATATATCTGCTGAATGCTGCTGAGCTTCGGCGAAGCAGAGCCTTGCGCATGGAGAATCGCACATCGAATCATCACCACCGTACTCCTTGGATTACATATTAGACCAATATGATGTAGATTCTGCATTGTGGTTTCAGCGGCAAGGCAATTGCTGCTAAGGTTCGTCGTACATATGATCAGCCTCCGGACCATGCCATCGTAGCAGAGCACCGCAAGCTTGTTTCGACCGAGGCTTTAGAAACCTTTGTACGTATCTAGTGAATATGATTCGGTGTAGATTACCCATGTTGCCTGGGGCCTTGCAACAGCTATACACAGGACTTATGTATGGTTTAGGGTTAGGGTTTACTTGGGGGGTCGGGGGTCTGAGTAAGTAGTTAGTACGTAGACTTATAAGTACCCTTCAAGGGCCCCTAAAAGAGGGTTATGGTCCTTATTATAAGTCCCTGAAATAACCAGTATTACTAAGTCCCCCGACCCTCCAAGTAGGTTAAGGTTTAGGGGCTATAGGGTAGGGTTCCGGGGTGGCAGGTGTACAAAGGATCTGGAGTGGCCTTATCTGGGGTTGGGGTTTGAATGCTCGACAGCTGCATCCGTGGCCCGTGTGGCCTTGCAGGACATGCCTTCAAATTAGGATTTTGGGTGTGTTACCGGGTTTTGGCGGCTTTGGGATGTGCATGCGCACTAAATTAATTGCAACAAGATATGTTGTCTTTTCGGGCTTCTAGGGAGTCAAGTTCAGGGGCTGAAATATGTCGGAAAGGGCATGAAGATCTTATGAAATTCAGGCTTGGGGCTTAATAATCTTCCATCAAAAGTAACCCAATAGACTGAATCCCTGTGCATAAAACCTTATGAAATTCAGGCTCGGGGCAATCAATCTTCCATCAAAAGTAACCCAATGGACAGCATCCCTCTGCATAAAATCTTATGAAATTCAGGCTTGGGGCTTAATTCTTCCATCAAAAGTAACTCAATAGACAGAATCCCTGTGCATAAATATCTTATGAAATTCAGGCTCGGGGCTTAATAATCTTCCATCAAAAGTAACCCAATAAACGGATAAAGCGATTTAGAAATGATGAATTCTCACTGATCTGGACTTCATAAGTAGGGTATGGGCTAAAGGATTCTACCGTAAAAAGTAACCGAATAGACGGATAAAACGATTTAGAAATCATGAATTCTCACTGATCTGGACTTTATAATTGGGGTATGGGCTAAAGGATTCCACCGTAAATGGAAACAAAGCTAGACACAAAACAAGTTTGCCCGAAATGGTTTTTTTTGGCACATGGTGAAACGAGGCGGTTGCGTCACAATTAGAACAGTCATGTTAAATGAGGCGGTTGACGTAGAGGGTTAGTGTTGACCTTGGCCTCTATCTTAGGCCCCTCTTGTCTATCCGAGAACCTGCTGTGTTAAGGGTCGAGCCCTGCAATGCAGGGTTTTAGCCTATGCCATTTCTGAAGGTTTGGGGCTACAGCATGTTCCGTATCCTCTCCTGATGAAGTTGTGCTATGTCCGCACTTTTTCGGCGAAGTGGTCAGCTTTGACCCCTCATGTGAAACACTGAATGAGTGCTTTAACTGCTTCGCATTGCTGAAGCTGCAAACGTCGGCCACATAAACTCAACAGTCCTGTGTACCTCTTTCACTGTGCGATGCGCGCATAGTCCTAGCAGTGTGGGAGGCCAACACATTCCAAACGGCAAACAGACGCCAACCCCCTACTGAACCCAAAGCCCTGCCCCACTCCAAACCGTACTCGGAAACAACATACACGCTAATCAGGGGCCCCTTATGTAAGGGTCTCACTACTTGGAATTCTTGTCCCGGGTGTCCAATTCACCGTGAACTCCCTCCAAAAGGCCCTAAAAAGCTCGTACCTAAACCCTAAACTGGAAACCTATATGCCCTAAACCCATACACCCTACACCCCTAAACAGTCAGAGGGTGCGTGCTGAAACTCTGAACCCTGCAAGCTCTGGCCAGATTGTTTGTTGATTACCATCATGACATATCATGACTACTCCTGTTGATGATATAAACCCTGCATTACCTTAAGGACCCTAAATTATAGGAATAATGGTACATCTTTTATTCTTGGTAATGCAGGATTTATATCATCAACCGTCCCTCTAGTCAGTGTCACTCGTCAGACTCCGAACCACCTGCCTCGCCGACAGTCCGAGTGTGAGCGCCGAAACCCTTAAACTCTACAAACGTACAAGCCCTAGACCCCTAAACCCTACCCTGAGCCCAAATTACCTTCGTTTTTGAGGACTTTTTTTAAAGGAAATCATAATAAAGAACCCTAAAACGGTAATTAGGTTATTCAGGGTTAAGGTCAGCCCTAAACCCTTTGACCCAGTTTAAGGAACCCTATAAGGACCCCCTTCAGGAACCCTTCAAGGATCGCTTATAGAACCCCTTGAAATCCCAAATCCCTTAACCCTAAACCGCCAAACCCGTAAAGGATCCCTTGTAGGAACCCTTTAAAGGAACCCTATAGTTAGATCCCTTTTTTGGAGCCCTATAGATCCCTGTAAAGGAACCCTAAACCCCCGAAGCCCAAAACAAGCTCGTAGGTTCTGCGCTCAGGTCGAAAAACCCAGCGAACGACTGAGGAATCCGCACGCGGCGAGGACGGGAGGCGCCCGCAGAGGCTTAGGGATTGATTTAGGGTTTCGGGTTTAGGGGTTTAGGGTTTAGGATCCCGACTTGGGCCCCAAACGTATGTAGAGTAATAGAGTTTTAAAGGTTGGGCCATTATATTACGTACGTTGGGGGTTTAATTAGGACATGTTCAAAGTAATTGGAATAGGGTTTTGGGGATATACTCCACTATAAGTATACGAGGAACCCCGACGCAGAATATTGGCAATTATTGAGGCATCGACATTAGCCCGACAGCCCCCTAAACCCCAAGCCCTAATCCCTGCAATGCGGGCCTCGTCCTTGCTCAGCAGGAGGCAAAAGCAACCCCTAAACCCTAAACCCCAATCCTATGACCCTCAAACTCTAAGCCCTAATCTTATCGATTTAGTTTGGGTACGGCCCCCACTCAGTAATAGTTGAATAATTTTCATAATATAGATATAGTAGGACCTTAATCATAGCCTATTATAGACTCTTACTGTATGGGGGCAGTACCTAAGATTTAGTGTTCAGGGGTCGTAGACGATCAGGGATCAGAGGCGGGTAGGGCCCTTGAGATATAAGCCCTCAGAGTCTCCATTCCGGGTTTCATGGTTTAGGGTTGTAGAGTTTAGTAATTTTGGGTTTAGGGTTTAGGGGTCTAGAGTTTACAGTTTTAGGAATGTTGGATTTAGAGTTTAGGCTTCTAGAGTTTAGAATCTGGGAATTTAGGCTTCAGAACCTAGATTTTGAGAATTGCGGGCTTATAAGCGAGCTTCAGTGGTGCTAACGCATTTGTGGATCAGGCCATTTATGACATTCCCATAGGTTAGAGGCTGCCCCCACCCTGTAATAGTGACTCTAAGGATTATATTAGGGCCCTATTCTATTCCTATTATCCCACTATTACAGGGTGGGGGCAGCTTCTAACCCATAGGTTTCGCATCTTGGGTTTTAGTAGGCTGGAGGGCTTCCAACCTACCGAGATCAAGGCAGGGAGCTTTTGGTTCGGATGGTTGAGGGGACTCTGGTTTCTTGTAAGGGGTTCATTTAAAGTTACCACAATAAGGATCTATAGTAGAGAATATGGTCTTGTTAAGGGGTTTAGTTTAAGTTACCACAACAAGGATCTATAGTAGAGAATATGGTTTCCTTACTACGGTAACTTAAATTGAACTCCTTAGCAAGAACCGAGGCTTCGGGTATATAGCAGATGTTTAAGATTCAAGTCGGCCCTTAGTCTCGACTTCCCATAAGAGCTTTGATCAGGGTTTCGAGATGTTAGGTTTGGGGATGCATGAAGAGTCTCAGAGCCATCCGTTTTAGCTTTTCAGGGTGTCCACGCCTGGGCTGGTGCTGATAGTTGAGTTTTGAGGGATCACGCAAGTTACCTGTAGACTCAAACCCTACAAAATAGCAGATTGTGCCCCTGTTATCCAGGGGCGATTGCGGAACCTAGAAAGTAGACTTTCACGTTTTTTCTTGATTCAGGGCTGCATGGTCTAGGGTTGAGGGCCAAGTGCACGGTTAAGGGCACGGGGTTATGAGTAATGCTAAACCTTGCATGATTTCAACAGCAGTGTTTAATGTGGGGTAAGAAGTACGGTTATGTTCAGGATGACCCGAGTTGACGTATTTCGAACACCAAAAACTACATGATAAACCCTCTGTTTTGGCTAAGTACACCATGCTCTGTGGTACGGTTTCCGGATCGAGCCGGCATTTAAGGCATGATGTTGGGATCTGGGCTGGTCGTTGACGGAGATTCAGGAGGGGTAAGGCTTCAGGGTTTCAAGAGAGAGGTGTGGAGTTGTGGCACGGTGCTGCACGGAGCCATTTGAACTTTTGAACCTGACCAAGTTTCGTAGCGTCCTCTGCTCTTTGTGCGCCGAAGTCTCAACAGTCGTCCTACACCCCCACCTCCGTTCGTGCATGAGAAAGACTGCACCAAAGCTTCCCAGACCTTCCAAAATCCCTTAA